ATCCAGAGGAAACTAAGCTTACAAGATTGTAAACAGGGAACCAGAGGCATCCATTGGCAAATGAGGACAACTACAAAACAAAAAGATGGAAAATACTGTGTAGTTACAGAACTTCTAAATGGTGAGGAAGTCAAGAGAGTTGCAAGATAGAATGGACTGTTCTAAACTTGGGAAGAAAATTATAAATCACAGGGTAACCTCAAAGAAAAATGATAAACCTTCACATCACAATAAAAAAAAGAGGATGAGCACGATTATTTAGCAAATGCTAAAACAATAGCAACAAAGGAAATGATAACATGATTTATAAACATAATGAACTCAGCACAGAAAACTATATAGAACAAAGAAACCGGGGACACCATGAAAAAACACATAACAAAATGACAGGAACAAATCCATACTTGTCGATAATTACATTGAATGTTAATGGATTAAATGCACTACTCAAGAGACCGAGACTAGCAGACAGGATTAGAAACCATAATCTGTTAATATGCTAAGAGACACACCTTAGAGACAAAGACAAAAATAGACACACCTTAGAGACAAAGACAAAAATAGACACACCTTAGAGACAAAGACAAAAATAGACTAAAAATCAAAGGTTGGAAAAAGATATAACAAGCAAATGGCAACCAAAAAAGAGCAGGAGGCAATATTAATTTCTTATCTAATGGACTTTAAGACAAAAACCACCATATGAGACAAGGAAGGACACTATTTAATGACTAGAGGATCAATTCAACACGAAGCTATAACCATAAGAAGTATCTGTGGACCCAATGAAAGTGGCCCAAAATACATACGTCAGACTTTAAAAGAGTTAAAAAGGCAAATAGATGATTCCACAGTCATAATAGGAGACTAATACATCACTTTCATTGAAAGATAGAACAGTTGGAAAGAAACACAACAGAGACACAGAATAGCTAAACAATTCAGTCCACCAACTTGACCTTATAGATATCTACAGAGCACTTCACCCAACAACAGCACAGTATACATTCTTTTCCAGTGCACCTGGAACATTTTCCATGATAGACCATATGTTAGGCTATAAAGCAAGCCTTAATAAATTTAAAAACATTGAAATACTGCAAAGGATTTTCTCAGATCACAATGCTCTGAAATTAGAAATTAACAATAGGAAGATCAGTGGGAAAAGAGTAAACACATGGAAACTGAACAACATCCTCCTTACGAACAATTGGGTAAGGAAAGAACTAAAAATGAAATTAAAAGATTCCTTGAATCAAATGATAATGAAAAAAGAACATACCAAAATCTTTGGGACACAGTGAAAGCAGTGCTCAGAGGCCAATTTATAATGATGAATACATCAAAAAAGAAGAAAGAGCCAAAACCAACACTTTAAACCAAGATCTTCAACAATTAGAAAAAGAACAGCACGCAAACCCTACAGTCATCAAAAGCAAAGAAATATTAAAGATTCAATCAGTAATCAATGAAACAGAAAATAGAAGATAACAGAAAAAAGCAACAAAACTAGAAGTTGGTTTTTGAAAAGATCAATAAAATTGACAAACCACTTGCAAATTTAACAAAGGAAAACAGACAGATAACACAAATAAGAAACAAATAGGCAACATCACAACAGAATCAACTGAAATAAAAAGGATAATATCAGGATACTATGAAGAACTGTACTCCAACAAATTTGAAAATCTGGAAGAAATGGACAGATTTCTAGAAACACACTACTGACTTAAACTAACACAAGCTGAGTTGGAAAAGTTGAACAGATCCATAACAAAAAAAGAAATTGAACAGGTCATGGAAAAATTACCAAAAAAACAAGGCCTGGCCCAGATGGTTTCACCAGAGAATTCTACCTAACATTCATAGAAGAACTGACACCAGTCCTACTCAAAATATTCCAAAACAGAAAAGGATGGAATTCTCCCAAATTCATTTTATGAAGCAAGCATAACCTTGATACCAAAACCAGACAAAGATATCACTCAAAAGGAAAGTGACAGACCAATATTCCTCATGAATATAGATGCAAAAATCTTCAACAAAATCCTAGCCAATAAACTACAACATATCAAAAAAAAAAATTCATTATGACCAAATGGGGTTCATATCAGGTATGCAAGGATAGTTCAGCATTAGAAAAACAATCAACGTCATCCATCACATAAATAAAACAAAGGAAAAGAACCACATGATCATATCAATCAATGCAGAAAAGGCATATGATAAAATTCACCACCCATTCCTGATCAAAACACTCAGAAAATAGGAATAGAAGGGACATTTCTTAACATAATAAAGGACATATATGCAAAACCAACAGCCAACATTATTCTCAATAGAGAGAGAATGAGACCATTTCCCTTGCGAACAGCAACCAGAGAAGGATGCCCTCTATCACCACTTCTATTCAACATTGTATTGGAAATCCTAGCCAGGGCAATAAGGCAAGAAAAGGAAATCAAAGGCATCCAAATTGGTAAGAAAGGAGTCAAACTATCCCTATTTGCTGATGATCTGATCCTATACCTGGAAAACCCAAAAGACTCAGTAAAAAATTTACTGAAACTAATTGAGTGATATAGCATCATGGCAGGATACAAGATAAACATCTAAAAATCAGTTGGATTCCTCCACACCAGCCGAGAGATTGCTGAAAACGAATAAGGAAATTGATGAAAGAGAAATAAGGAAATCAATACCATTTACAGTAGGTACCCAAAAAATAAAATATTGGGAATAAATCTTACCAGGGACACAAAAGACTTGTACAAAGAAAACCATAAAAGACTGCTTCAGGAAACAATAAAGATCTATATACATGGAAGAACATACCATGCTCATGGATAGGAAGACTGAACATTGTGAAAATATCAGTTGTACCCAAAATAATCTATACATTCTATGCAATCCCAATCCAGATCTCATCAGAATTTTTTAAGGATATGGAAAAACCATTCACTAACCTTATAGGGAAAAGAAAGAGACTTCAGATAAGCAAAGCACTATTGAAGAAGAAGAACAAAGTAGGCGGTCTCACACTCCCGGATCTCAAAACCTACTACTTAGCCACAGTAGTCAAAACTGTCTGGTATTCATATAATGACAAGACACATAGACCAATGGAATAGAATTGAGAACTCAGAAATAGATCTATCAACCTATGGTCTTTGATAAAGGGCCAAAATCCATTAAATGGAGAAGAGAATGTTTGTTTAATAAATGGTGCTGGCAAAACTGGATATCCATTTGCAGAAAAATGAAACAAAAGTTGTACCTCACACCATAGATGAAGACTAATTCCAGATGGATCAAAGACTTAAATGTGAAACTTAAAACTATAAGCTCTGGTAGCATAATGCCTAAGGCACTTGACTGCTAACCAGAAGGTTGGTGGTTCAAACCCACCAGCCACTCCTCAGAAAGAAGGTTGGGCAATCCTACTTCCGTAGTGATACTGCCTCGGAAATCCAAGGAGGGGTCACTCTGAGTTGGGTCCGACTCGATGGCATATAACAACACCACCACTGTGGAAAGCAGTATGGCAATTCCTTAAAAAGTTAAAATTAGAAATACCATTTGACCCAGCCATTCCATTAGTAGGTATTTATCCTAAAGAAGTGAGAACCATGACAACAGATATATGCACACCCGTGTTCATCACAACAGTACTTAGAATAGTCAAAAGATGTAAACAGCCTAGGTGTCCATCAACTAAAGAATGAATATCCAAACTGTGGTACATACACACAATGGAATACTATGCAACCCTAAAGAATAATGTAGAATCTGCAAATCACTGCATAACATGGGTGAACTTGGAGAACATTACGCTGAGTGAAATAAGTCAATCAAAGAAGGACAAATTGTAGTAGTCCATTATTGTAAAAAGTCAAGGAAAGGCTTATATATGGAAGGAAATTTTCTTTGTTGGTTGCCAGGGGTGGAAATGGAGGGGAGGGAACACTGTTAGATAGGTAGAGACAAGTACTGATTTGGGTGAAGAGAAGGACAGTATACCAAATGTGAGTGATCAGCATTGTGGTACTGAGGAAGAGGAACACATATGCATGGAGGGAAGGACATAGGAAAGAGGTAACTATGAGGAGGGAGTAGGAGGGAAGCTGTTCATTGTGGTAAATTTTAGTCAATATTATAAGACAAAATACATGTGAACTGACGTATGGAAAGTGAATTTGCTCTGTGAAATTTCACCCAAATCACAATTTAAAAATATATATATATATCATTTATCTCTGTTATCAGAGCAAGTATTTGACAACTTTGAAAATGGAGGGTGTAAGAGTCTGGATTTTAGGAAGAAATAGAGGATGGCTGTGGTTTTGACAAGATGATATTGGTGATATTATTTGGAGAGGAAAAGTGAAGCTATCAGAAAGAAAAATTCCTTTCATCACTATTTGCTTTACCTGGTTAAAAAAAAAAAAAAATGAGGTTCTGCCAGAAAATTGAGATATTATCCTGGTTATTAATTATTTGAGGGCCTAAAAAATAGATTTAGTGTCCCTTGGTTATTTTTTCAAAATAAGTCCAGATATTTTATATAATTTGTGTGTTTTCTTTTATTGTTGCTGAAAGATACATTTGAATGATCCTTTTAGTTACTATTTGGTCTCTTCTCCCATATTTCAATCATATAAATTTTTATCCTTGAAATTTATTTTTAAGCCTTCTTAAACCAAGCTACATTTTACTCAAGTTTTAAGAAAGAGAAAAATTTATATATTAATTAAAATTACAGAGTACATAATATTTCTTTTGAGCATTTTTATTGTAGTGAAATGCAAAAGGGAGACTCTCTTAAAATTGAATTAGAATTTAACACAGTAAAAGGATTAAGGCTTACAGATAGAATATGTGATTTTTTTGTTACCTACTATCTTAAAACTAAGTAGTGATAATTTATAGTAAGTTTATTCAGTTTTCTCCACACTAATTTTGCTTTCAGACATGTTTCTTGTTATGTTTTTGTTTTGCAGAACCTGATGATTTGGAAACAGAAGTACTACAGGAGTTAAGTGAGATAAACAAAGATGACAGCTTGCCATGTGCTATTACTGATGTGTGGGTTGAGAAAAAGGAAACAAAGGAAGCAGAGTATGTTACCTATTTTTCCTTAACATTTCAAAACTGGCATCCCTTTTTGTAATAACTTTTAAAAAATAATTCAATACCCTAATGTTTCAATATTATATTCTAATACTCGGAAGGAAGGTTGGGCAATCCTAGTTCCGTAGTGATACTGCCTCGGAAACCCAAGGAGGGGTCGCTATGAGTCAGGGCCGACTCGATGGCAAACAACAACAACAACAATACTATAATAGCTCATAAAATTAGTTAGTTTTTTTAATAGGAATTATATCTGCATGGTTTCGAAATCAACAAATATTTAAAGAAGTAAAATAAGAAATCTCTGTCCTGCCAGTTTTCACTGTCTCCTCCTTATAAGTATTGTGATTCTAGCTAGCAATGTGATTTCCTTGCCCAATATTTATACATAAAAATGCATATATTTTTATACATATATTAGTAAGCATGAATAGTTGTCCTCCATTTTTAAATACACTTGGTAATGTACACTATATTGTCCATCTTGTTTATTTTTACTCACACATTAGTAAATCTTAGAAATTGTTTCATATTCATACATATGTGTTTTGCCTACATGGTATTTCCATTGTATGAATGTACTGTGAGTATTTGATAGACATTTATTGATATTACAATGATGCTTCAATGAATAGCCTTTTACATAAGGTAATTTTGCAGATATATATCTGTAGGATAAGGAGCTCTGTTGAGACACAGAAATGAAATTGCAGGTCAGTTGCATTTTCCCCATGGCCTTGCCAACCTTTTGTTATCAACATTTTTTATTTTTGCCAGTCTGAGAAGTAAAAAATGTTCATTTGAGTTCTTAGTTCATCTTTCTCTTATTGTAGGTGAAGTCAAACACATTTTTTCTCATACTTCTGTCATTTGTATTTCCTTTTCTGTGAATTCTTTTGTTTATATCTTTGACCCTGTTTTAGAAAAATTTGATTTTGGTGTTTTATAAAAGAACTATTTAAATATTTCAGATATTTTTCCTGACTCTTAAATGAATTGTTACATGAATTTATAATTTGTTCAGTTTATTCCTCCCTCCCCTGTACATGCACACACACACACACACAAAATCTATTGGTATTTTATTGGGATGTTAAATTTATGCATTAACATTAGTAAAATCAGCATATTGTATCTACTTGTCCAAAAAGAACAAGCTTCTCAGTTTAATCAGATTGAGAGTTTTATATTGTCCTTTATCTAAGTTTTATACTTTTAATTAGTGAGCTTATTCCTAGGTATAGTTTCCATTTTGTTTTCCCTTCTAATTGATGCCTATTATTCTATGAGATCTTGTAACTGGGGATTTGTGTGTATGAAAGCTGTGGATTTTGTAGGATTTTGTATTCCACTACCTATTGATATCCCTTATTATTAATGGTAGATTTTCTGTTGACTCTTTTGTATTTTTTCAGGTATATGGTAATATAATAAAAATAGTGATAGTTTTATGCTTTTCCAATTTTTTAACAATATATTTTATTAAAATATAAATTATATACAGTGAAATGCACAAAACTAAAGTGACATGAGCCATTCCAATTTTTTTAATGTTAGTTTTTTCTCTCCAATTGCTTTGGTTAGTGCCTTCTATACATTATTAAATATTAGCAATAACCCATTGTTATCCAGTCAATTCTGACTCATGGTGACCCTGTAGGATGGAGTAGAACTGTCCCCATAGAGTTTCCAAGGATGCAGTCTTTGAAGAGGCATATTGCCACATCTTTCTCTCACAGAGTGTTGTTGTTGTTGTTGTTGTTGTTATGTTCCATCGAGTTGGACCCGACTCATAGCGAACCCTCCATGGGTTTCTGAGGCAATATAACTACGGAAGTAGATTACCCCAACTTCCTTCTGAGGGATTCAGATTGCTGACATTTCAGCTAAAAACTAAATGTGCCACCAGGATTCTTCGTATAGATAATAGTTGGTATCTTTGGTGTTTCCTTTCTTTTTAATTTTTTATTGTATGTAGGTGCAGATTTACAGAGCAGATTTTTTTCTCAACAATTCATACACATTTTGTTTCACTGCACCAATTTACAATCCCAACAATAAACAACTCTCCTCCCACCTCTTCCCTGTGACTTTTCCTTTCCTGTGTCCTTATCTATGCATTCCAGTCTGTCCAGTTTTCCCTCTGTGCAAATGCTGCTCTTCTGATCTCTCATGGTTGATAGATCTAAGGGGTGCATCTCCCTAGAGTAGGTTGGTACATCTCGTTGGGGTAGATGTTCTCCTCATAGGCCCTACTACTGTCTGACTGAGAGCTAATCCACAGAAGGGAGCCCAGATCCAGGCCCAAAAGATAACCCAGAGCCCTCATCTCAAAGATTTCACTAGTCTCTATCCAACCAGTACTTATGGTCATTTTTGTGTTTTTGAATTTTGTTCCACAGTTTTCCTCCAACTCTATCTAGGATCACCATTTTTGATCCCCTTCCAAGTAGTTGGCATTAGTAGCCAGGAACCATCTTCTGGTCTCAGGGTCATGAAGCTGAGGTTCCTGTGGTCCACCAAACCCTTGGACTAATTGTTTCCATATGCTTTGATTTTCTTCACTTCTCTTTGCTCCAGAGGAAAAGAGACCAATTCTTGCATCTTAGATGGCCATTCAGAAGGTTTTAAGACCCCAGTTACTACTCACCAAAGTAAGGTGTAGAGCAAGATTTTTTATGTACTATGTTACGCCAACTGAGCTCAATGTCCCCTGAAGACCATGGTCCCGAGCCTGCAGGCCTGGTGACTTATTCCCTCAAGGTGCTTGGTTGTCACTGTGAAGCTACTCCAACCTTGTCCTCTGTTAATTCTATAATGTAAATGGATATTTTTGTAGCATCTTTGTTTTATTCTTTAGTGAAAATGTTTCTGTTGTTAGCTCTCATTAAGCATGATGAATCTGCTTTTAGCTGAGATACTTATCTGTATTTTATTGCTTTCAAAAAACAAACGTAAGTCAAGGAAAGGTTTATATGTGGAAGGAAACTTTGCTTGTTACCAGGGTGGCAGGGGGAGGAGGGGACACTGCAAAAATAAAAAACAGGAATAGATTTTGTCAAATGACTTTTTAGCCTGTATGGAACCATTCATATAAATGTTTTCCCTTATGTAATCATATAAAGAATTACATTACTAGGTTATGTAATACTGAACTGTTGTGCATTTCTTCATTGAACCCTACTTGCTTATGGTATATTATCAGTTTAATGTACCAGTGTTTGTTGATACTTTATTTAGGGTTTTTGTGGCGATACTTGTGAGATTCATCTGTAGTTCCTTATGTTGTAGAAATCATTGTTGAATTTTGGTTTTCTTATACACTCTCTTCACAAAAAGGAACTAGAAGTTCCTTTGTTTGCAAGGCTCTATAACAGGAATCAGCACACATTTTCTATAAAGGGCCAGTTAGTAAATATTTCAGGTTTGGAGACCATGTATTTTATTTTACAACTATTCAGCTCTGCCCTTGTACTGCAAAGCAACTATAGATAATACATGAACAAATTAGCATGCCTGTTCCAATAAAAGTGTATATACAAAAATAGGAGGTGAACTGGACTATACTTATGGACGACAATTTGCTGACCCATGAGTTAGAACTATTTAAGTATCATTGGCATTATCTGATCTCTAAAAATTTAGTAGACTGTCCTTTTGAAACCAGCTGGGCCACATAATTTTGTTTGTTTCTTTTTGTGAATGAAATGGTTACTCTTTGATAACCTTCTCTATTTAAAGATAATCTGTTTCAATACCCTAATTCAGGAATCAATTTTGTTAAATAGTTTCCTAGAAAATAAATAACTTCAAATTTTCAAATATGCCTAAAATTGAGCAAAATACTTCTTTTTAATTACCTCATTTCTGTTACTCTCCTAACAAATTGTATTAGATTTTCTCTCATTATTTATTCTCTTGACTAGGCTGAGCTAGTTTATTTTTCAATGAATTGGTTTTGATTTTCAATTTCCTTAATAGTATTAGGAGCACTGGTGGCGTAGCGCCTAAGGCATTTGACTACCAACCAGAAGGCTGGCGGTTCAAACCCACTAGTCATTCCTCGGAAAGAAGATTGGGCAATCCACTTCCATAGATTGTTGTTGTTGTTGTTATGTGCCGTCGAGTCGGCCCCTACTCATAGCGACCCCTCCTTGGGTTTCCGAGGCAGTATCACTACGGAAGTAGGATTGCCCAACCTTCCTTCCGAGGAGTGGCTGGTG